GTATGTTACATGCATGAAAGCGTGACAGCAGTCAAATCGTTGGGGCATCATGCAACCGTGCGGCTGGCGCGGATCGAGCGGGCGACGCTCGTGACCTTGCTGTGGGTCATGGTCGGATGGCCCGCGTTGATGCGGGACGTGAACGCTGTTTGGGTGTACGAGTCCTTGGTCAAGATGTAGTTGACGGCAAACTTGATCAAGTCGAGGGGAAAGTGCCAAATGACGGACCAGATCCACGAGATGGCCAAGTACGGGCCGCCACACCCAAACACAGCAACGCGGTCGGCAGGGTACCCGGCAAAGCCATAGAACCCGATCACGGACGCCGCGACTTGGGCAATCACAAACGCAAACAGGAGCAAGTTGCACGGCTTCTCGGCAAAGAACCACGTGTTGATGCCGGCAGTCCGCGTGACAAAGATGAGCGCTTGGCCCGAGATCGACACCTGCGTGTAGATGAGCCCGCGCAGCACACCGTCCTTCTTTTGCATGCCAGGGCCGATCAGCTTCTTGCCACGCGTCCACGTCGAGTTAAAGTTGGAGTAATCCCACACAAAGCTGCAAAACCCGACGCCGTTTGTCAATGGAACGTAGTCGCGCCCGACGAACGCCACGCCCTTGCCTTGACCGGCCGCCAGCGACACCGAGTACGCCTTGTCCGATCCAAACGCTTGACCGTCTTGGCCCACTGTGTATTGATACACAAACTGCTGGTAGATGGCGTCGGCTTCCGGCGTCGACTGCAGGTTGTTGATGTGGTTGCCTTGCAAGTTTTCAAAGAGATCCGCACGCGACGTGCGGTACTTGGACGCATATTCCGCCCAATACAAGTCAATGTCAGTCTTCCGCGACGTGCCTATCGCAACCACGTTGGACGACTTCATGATGGACCCGTCCAATTCGCCGCACGCAGTCGAGTTGAGCGTAAGCGAGCACTCTTGAACGCGGGCTGTGAAGAAGTCTTGGCAGTGGTCCTTGATGCAGTTCACGCACAGGTTTTCCGCGCCGATAAACCCGTCAAACGCGTTGGTTTGGTACGTCAGTGCAAACAAGATGATCGTGCTCAACGTGAGCCACAACCCAAACGAAATGGACGAAATGAACACGCTCTTCAACTTCCACGAGTCGGGCGTGCGGCTCGCGGTCACGTTGTCCTTGGAGATAGTCAAGATCGTCCCGTCGTTCAGGATGGCCAACACCACGACCAAGATCGTGGGAAAGTACCAGTTGTAGCACACAGTCAACAAACCAAACGTGCACACGATGCGCACGGTCATGGCAATCGAGTACATGGCGTAGTTTTTCATGCGCAAGAAGATTTCGCGACTCATGCGGATGGCCGTGATGATGACGCTCAACCCAGGCGACACGAGCACAATGTCGGCGGCGGCACGGGCTGCGTCCGTCGAGTCGTCGACGGCAATCCCAATGTCGGCTTGGGCGAGCGCCGGCGCGTCGTTCACCCCGTCGCCAGTCATGCCGACGACCTTGCCGAGGCTTTGCAAGTGGCGGACAATCTCAAACTTGTGCTCGGGAAACACTTGGGCAAACCCGTCCGTTTCGTACACAAGCTGGGCCAAGTTCATGCCGGGGGGCGGCGCCTGGTTGAAGAAGCGCGTGTCCAAGATGTTGGTCGGCATGCCCAATTGACGGCACGTCTCGACCGCAATGACGCGGTGATCCCCCGTCACCATCTTGACGGCGACACCCAAGTCAATCGCGCGACGGATCGTCTCGGCCGTGTCGTGGCGAGGCGGGTCAAACAGCGGCATCAACCCGACCAACTTCCACTCGGCCTTGTCCAGCGGGACGTCGCCTTCCGAGATCGACACACCCAACCCACGGTACCCGCGGCCCGCGTACTCGTTGATGCGACCTTCGACCTCGTCACGGAGATCGTCGGCATTCACGTCCATATCCAAGCACACTTGTGGCGCCCCCTTGCACGTGCGAAAGATGCGACCGGTGGCGTTTTCACGAATCTTGGCAATCGTGCGCTTGGTCGTCGGGTCGAACGGCGTGTAGTGCAGCAGCGTGTACGTGTCCCACATTGTGTCCTTTTCCGGGTACGTCTCAAAGCACACGACGTCGATGGCTTCGTGGTTCTCGACGCGGGCGGCCAACGCAGCGTCGCGGATGATCTGCGCCTTGTCGAACCCGTTGTACGGGATCAAGTTGTCCAAGTCGACGCTCAGTTTGTTCAACGTGAGCGTCCCCGTCTTGTCCGAGCACAGCACTTCCATCGACGCCATCTCTTCGATCGACGTCAGCCGCGTCACAATCGCATTCTCCTTGGCCAGCGCCGACGACCCGATCGCCAACGTCACGCTCAGCACCGTCGGCATCGCGACGGGAATGCCGCCGACAATCAACACCAAAATGTTGGCCACACCCAAACAACCGTCCGCGATAATCAAGCACGGGTTCTCGTCGGCGCGGGACCCCATTTGAACAACCAGCTCGATGATGCACCACGCAATGATGGACACCATGCAAAAGTTGCCCACGGTCGTGAGCACTTCCTGCAGACGGCCTTGCGACTCGACGCCGGCGATCTGCGCCGCCGCGCGGCCCAAAAACGTGTTGACGCCAGTGTTTGTCACCACGGCTTCGATTTCGCCTTGCTTGCACACCGAACCAGAGTACCCTTCGTCCCCCGTGGACTTGGTCACGGGGAGCGA